TAGCACAAAGCAACCCAAGCTCCTCTAGTCTCCTTTCGTACGACAGCTTTTCCATTCCTCTGATCATCCTAGTGGCCCTTCTCTGCACCCGTTCCAGTTTGAGTTCATCTTTTTTAAACATGGGCAAGTCACTTAGCCTCTTTGTGCCTCAGTTCCCCATCGGTGATGATAGCACTGCCCTCCCTCACCAGGGTGCTGGGAGAATAAATCCAGTAAAGACTGTAAAGTGCATTGGGATCTACTGATGCAAAGTGCTATGTAAGAAATAGGTATTATTTTTTTTATTATTATTATTATTTGTTATTATGAAGCCAGGATTCCTGTTTTCCTTCTCATCCAAAAGACAGCACCTTCAGCAGCACCGAGCCCCTAACACTCGGCTCTAGAATGGATTCAGTAGTGAGGAAAAGGGAACAGTGCCATTCATGGAATCCCAATAGTATTTCCTGGGGCTAGGAGTTCCTTGGCAGCATTCCAACAAAATACTGACCAGGCCTGCCCTTACTTGGCTTAGGAAATGATTTAGGGCTTGTCTACAATGTGCCAAAGTACAGATGATGGGCGTGTGAACTGCAGAACACACCACAGTGCTGTGCTCTAACTGGCCCAAGTGCGTGCTGCTGGCATGAACTAAAATGTATCTAGTTCATGTTACTGTACTCCTGTTTGAAAGAGGACTACGTTAATGCACCTTTTTAGTTTACACCAGCAGCAGCCACACAGGGTAGTTAGAGCGTAGCACTTTGATGCACTCTGTGATTACACACCCACTCCCCACAGTCCACATTGCAGTGCAGTGTAGACATCGCTTCAGTCACCTATACATTGTGGGCCAAGCTCTCCTCTCCGCTGCACTGAAGTCAATGGAGTTCTGGTGAAACACTAGAATTTGCCCCATATGTTTCAATGACTCTGACATTCTTACCAACAAGAACCCAAGTTACACAGGATAAATTATTCATGAACACAGCAGAGTTACATTAAATAAGATGTACAAAATTACATATTCAACAACATATGCACAGGTGTGTTCATTTAGTCATATACACACACAGGCTTTGAACGCAGGTCATTCTAAAGGGCCAGCCCAGAAAACTAACAGCAGTACGGTGATCCCTTGGATAGCTGTGTGGGGCTGAGACCAAGCTTGCTCCCTCAAGACTGGCAGCAGCAACTCTGACTGCAGAGGAAGAATGCTCAGCCGCTGGGGGAGGAACCACCTTTCCTCGTTGTCCAGTGACTCTCCGGCTAACGCAGGAGCAGTGTCAGGCTCAAGCCAACATGCGAAATTTGATGGGGAGCATAGGAGAAACCCGGCAGATTCCTTCACCAGGTTTAGTGGTTTGAAGGATAGTCATCTCCACCCCACCACCAGCCCCACCATGCACTGACATGGCAAATTCAAGAGTAAACTCCAGGTTTTCCGTTCTGTCTACCTGTTGTGCATTTCTCTTTAACAATCTTACCAACTGGAAAATGGACCATCCCTTCTTCCACAACCAGGGTAGGCATTGCCCCACTGCCCTGCAGCATGGACACCACCTTATCATGGGAGCAATTCCTGCAGAGCCAGACAAAGAGAACCCACATAAATAACACTTTCAGAGCCTACACTGCGCCCACCATTTGTGACATGGGCATCTCTGAAGTCTCCTAAGGATGAAAAGGATTGACAAGAAAAGTAGGATTCACTTAACAGGAACATAACAAGTCTGGGAGGGACACCCAAACAAAGGCACAATGGCAGGACTTTGACAGCTGCACCCCTGGGTATCAAATGGAGAAGATCACAGCTGCCTTCATCTTTACGA